CCCCAAAACCCCAAAACCCCAAAACCCCAAAACCCCAAGATTTTAAAAAAGTGAGAATTTTAAGAATTTAAGTAAATTTAATTCATAAACTTGTCTAAAATTGATTTAAGAATTCTCTTAGCTGTGGCTAAATAGTAAATTACTTCTTTACATACGATATTCTAAAATTGACTAAGCTTTGTCTCTTTTCAACTTTTTTTCAAACCTGATTCTAATAGCATCTTTTTAATTATATCCTACTTAACTGGCTTTCCGATATTATAATCAAAGGGATCTTAGCCATAATTCAAACTAAAGAGCAGCCTAGTAAATTCATTAGAGGATTCCCCAGAAGAAAGAGCAAGTTTCAGATGTTTATCAATGATTCCATTTCTTTATCCTTGTCTAATTTTAATAGCGACTTATAGTCCACTCATTAGTGGCATCTCATTATCAAGAATAATTAATTTATAACCCCTTCCTGTATTAAAACGCCTTTTTTAATCAGAAAGGACCTTTAGGTAAGCTGACTCTCCATCGAAGGCTTTATCAACTTAAACTCCTTATTATTCTAACAAACCTTCCAAAGAGAGAAGATTAAATGGTTAATCATCAGCAATAAGAACTAGAGGATTAAATTATTCAAAATTTGCGCTGTCAATCCTCGCGATTTAATCATGGAAGTCTAACTGTAGATTTATATCTGGAAATGCTTCACTCTTCATATCTTCTTTTGATTCTTCAATTTCATTTAATACATTTTGCTAAGTCTGAAAGGATTGATTATGTCTATTTAAAGTTGACTAGCTCTGAATGCTTGATAGCCAATGGAAGGCCTTTTGCCTTTTACCTGGGACTGTAATTAAAATATCACTTAGCTTTTGGGGCAATGAATTCATACTGGTGACATCAAATAATTAATCCTTAGGTTATTAATGACTGAATAAGAATGTCCGTTAGATTACATATTATTATTTCTCATAGCTCTACGATGAGAAGAGCTACTCTAGCCTGAAAATGAAGGCTTTAGTTAGCCTTCCTAATTTTTTATTTGCAATATAAATGTTGACCCGACATCTTTTTCTGACTCTACTGTTATATCACCTCCTAAAGCTTAGGCAAGCTTTTTGCTGATAGAAAGACCTAAACCGACACCCTATTTATTTAATTCTCTGTCTTCCATAATTTTTGTAAAAATTGAAAATAAAGTTTTTATTTTTTCTTCGCTAATTCCTACTCCTGTATCTACCACTTGTATCTAAAGTGTTTGCTTCTCAGTAGAGTTGATTATTATCTTGATAAAGCCTTTTCGTGTATATTTAATTGCATTTGAAAGAAGGTTTATAAGAATTTATCTGAGTCTATTTTAATCTGTTGTAAAATACATTGGTGCAGAATTTTCTAATGACAGAATTATTTTTAGTCCTTTCAGCTCTGCAGAAAATTGTAATATATTAGTGCATTGCTCAATTAAGTCCTTAATTTTGAATCTCTCGATATTTAAGACAAGCTTTTTTTGTTCAGTCTAGGCAAAATCTAAAATGTCATTAACTAGGAATAGCATAAGGTTTGCACAGTTTTTTGCAATTTAATAGTACTTTCCCCCAGTCTCATGATTGACTTTATCATGCAAAATGTCTATAGATGATATTATTCCATTCAAAGGATTCCTGAATTCATGAGCAGCCTAAGCAAACAATACTGTTTTCATTTTATTCAGGTTTTCCTGGCGTTCAAACTCTATCCAAGTAGTCATATCTCTCAAAGCTATTAGAATTGTTTCTTTCCCATTTTGTTTCATAGACTAGGTAAATACCTAAATGTGCTTTTAATCAGATTTTTAGGAAGAACTGTGATTTTACTAATCATTACCAATAAGAAATGGAACCCCATCAATATTACTGACCTCTGAGTCAAGATTATTAAATCTATTGCCCTAAAATTTGTGTTCAAGGTAGTTCCACAGATTTTTAAATTCAAATCTGTACATTTGTTAGATATTTATTCCCATATTTTTGCATTCTATATTATCAATTATGGTCTCTTTCATCTAATCAATAAGGAATTTAGGAATCTATTCAATATCTTATTACTAGCCCAATTCTTAGTTCAATCTGGCTCTAGCACCACTGTTACTATACCTTGAAGACTGTAATTCTTCCTCTTTGATTCCAAAAATACTGAGAGCTTGTTCATTATGATATAAAATTTTATCTTTAGTAGCAATTATGATGCCATCATGAAATATTTTTATCATTTTATGGAATACTGATGTGAGTTACTTTTATCTTGTAATACTTTGAAATTAATCTCATTCCTTTCTGTTGTTAATACGAGCCAAGACCAGACATATTAAGAGAAAGAAAAAATATTCGATGACATAAATTGAATAAATGTAATCATCTTCTATCCAAAACCTGGTCCTGATCACATTATATACATAGCAAGTCAGGATTGTGAAAGAGAATATGAGTTGGTTGTAACTTACAAAACATAGTAGTATAATAGGTAGCTCTTTGAAAATATAAGTGTAAACATTTGGAGTATCACCATTGATACTTTATTCAAGAAGGATAATATGGAAAGTAATAATCTAGATATCTGAGAAATGCTTTTGAAATATTAAGTACTTTGTAGAGAAATAATATTGAAGAATAGGTAATAATACGAAAACGATATTCATCGGAATCGTGATTCTGAGCGGAGTAGACTCTGGAATTTTAACTCTTCTGTAAATGTGGTAGCCTAGGAATATGAAGTAAATAATGATGATAGATAGCACATAAATTCTTCCAATCTCCCTTAGATTTTTATTGTGATAAGTCTTGAGATATTTCATCTCAGTGACGGGATCTTCGAATAGCTAACTATATTTATTGGTGTCACATCAAGAGGCCACGTGTTCTATTAATTGTTTAAAAGCTCTTTTCTATTAATCACTCGAGTTCTCCGACGGCTTTTGTATGTTTATCCTATAGTCCAATTCATTCTGAGCTGGTTATAACTGAGATTTTTACTCAAAAGCCCTTATTTACTACATGTTATATTAGGTCTTTAAATTTAGAATTAAATATTGATAGTATAGATTATTTCTCATGTATTTAATTTTATTCATCGAAGTCTGCATTATTATAAATCCCACTGTGATTATCTCATTAAAGCAATTCTCTTTGTTATCTTCTCTTAAGGGGTTTTGGGGTTTTGGGGAGATCGGAAGAGCGTCGTGT